GGTCCCGATCAGGATGGGTCCGACACTGCAGTAAAGTCGGAATCTGTCCACTCCCACCTTCGCGTGGGAATACTTGTACAAAATCATATGAAATGAGATCTTCAAGTTACGCTTGCTCATGAGTTTCGAAATTCTCATCGAGCATCCATGACATTATGGCATATCTTTGAGTCTCACATCACTTCTCTTCCACAAGTTGTTCTGCATGGTCACATTGACGGGATGGAGAGTGACGAAAGCAATTACATTTGCCGTATCATTTTGCTCGTTGATCTTAAAGGAATAATTCTTAAAAACGTTATACGCAAATATTTTCGCTTACGTGTCGAAATTTGCCCTGTTTTGTGGAACCTCAAGCAGGCGCTATCGCATGCCCTGCCTAATAATTTCTAATATAACATTTTCTTTTCTTTGTTATAGTTTTGAAATTCCATAACAAGTGAGATAGTAAATAAGCTTTACCGAACTAAGAAACAATCCACCCTAGTTCAATGGTAGAGCACGTATAATGTTTTGTCGTCTCACGATCGGAAAATTGTCCGCTGATCGAGTGCTCTCCTCTCATAAAGGCGGAGTCCATGTTCGATAAGGGTGTGTAAAATTTATACCAGATCGTAGAAAGACAAATGTAGCGATTAGAGATGGATTAAGGCATTAGATTCCATCAAATACTCATCTTTTTCTCACCATTAAGCTGCTGTTGATTAGTTTGATTCGTTTTTCTTACCTAATATAAATGACATTGGATTCATTCACATAGTCAAAGTGTGAGTTAGTTGCATCAGACATCATTCCCTGAGCTTGATCGGTGATTCACTGTTTTCCGCCGATATGTTCAAAAACTACGAGATCCGCAGATCTCTACTTTTCACTGTCTTCAAACATATTTTTCTCTCTAGTAACAGATGGATGTTAGGATAGTCCTTCCTTACACTAATCGCGTCAACTTGAAAGCAATAAGAGAGATATTCATTAATTATGGACCCTATGCTGTTGATTATGAAATTATAGCTTTGAAATTTACAAGTATGTATGCAAAATTATTTTGAACAACCACATATGACTTCGTAACATTATTTTTATTTCGAAATTATTAGTGAGCAATTGTAATATATAAAGTACTCGAAAAAAACAATTGTATTAAACTGCTTTTAAAAGTATTACACGAAACCTATAACAACGCAAATAGGAAAAAAGAAAATTTTTTCAAGAATTCTCTGTTCATCAACTTTTTCTATAACGCAAAAAAGCTGTTTTTGACTGTAACTAAGTCAAAGAAAAACTTCAAACCACTATTCAACCTGATAGTCATATCAAATAACATCTGTTCTTGTATGAAATTCACATAAAATACTATTTAGTAAAATTATGATGCACATTAAGAATTAATGATGGATGATAGTAGCTCCATTCAAATACATCACTTATAGTTGCTCTCGATAATAGCTTGATAACTTCTGTTTTTTATTTAGAAAAGACTATGTTGCACCAGAGTGTAATACGGGATGACTAATTACTAGAACAACTTTAGTTTGATCCTGATAGCAACTAGAAAAAATATTACTGTTCTTTCAATCTATTAAAAATTTCGATCAATTGAAATTTATCGATTGCTCTCGGTTGATCAAAAACATGGACAAATTACAAAAACTCTTATTTCTTCTCCACAGTTTATATGAATTTTATCTCAAATCCTGTTTTTGCATTGAACAATTAGATTCGTTTTGAGTTCTATCGTAATAGCACTAAAGATTGCAGATGTCAGTTATTCATCTTGAAACAGGTGAATTTTCTAAATTGATATTGTGTATAATCGGTTTCTAAGAAAAAGTTTTTTTAAAAAATAATTACTGTTGTTTATGGTTGTCGTTGACGATTCTATTCTATATTCTTAAGAACACAAAAAGAATTCGTGATGATTCATGGCACATTGTGTCACCGCAACAACAGAGTTGAATTCTCTCTACTACTTCTGCCATATCTTGTCTGCCGTCCGTTTTTTTTCTTTCTGAGCCTATTCATGCATTCACGTCGTTATGTGCAGCCAAATTTTGACTTTCTTTTACCAAATACAGAGAAGAAAATTTCAGATAGATTCCTTTTTTTCTCTTCTCTATCGACGTTTTATTTAAATCGAGTTGACTATCATTTGTTAAACAGAACGATTCACGATAACAACAGCGAGTAGTGCAGCAGTTCGCCTTTCTTATTTTACACATTTTCTTACGTTTATAAGCTTTAAAAGTAAGTATTCAACAAATAAAATAGAACTTAGAAATAGATGCAACTCTGAAGAAGAGTTACGAGAAAAATTAAAAAAATAACTTCTTCACTATGTGTTATACCTGAATTACTTATTAATCACAGAGAAGCGTTGTGTAATTCTTAGCAATAGCATATTCGATATCCTCTGTCATGCGATCTTACAGATATTTTTCTTTTCGAATAGTATTATTAATCTTATTTCTGTTAATTATGATCAAATTTTTCGTACTGAACATTTTTTATTTCTCTCGTTGTTTCTAGAAATCAATCATGCGAGAATGTATTTCGATTCACGTTGGTCAGGCTGGTGTTCAAATTGGTAACGCTTGCTGGGAATTGTATTGTTTGGAACATGGAATTCAACCCGATGGTCAAATGCCGTCAGATAAAACAATTGGTGGTGGCGATGATTCATTCAATACATTCTTCTCAGAAACTGGCGCTGGAAAACATGTACCACGTGCAGTATTTGTCGATCTTGAACCAACAGTAATTGGTAAGAAAATAATTTAAAAGTTATAAATATAAACTTTATTTTCGTTCTAATTTCAGATGAAGTACGAACTGGCACATATCGTCAATTATTTCATCCAGAACAATTGATCACCGGAAAAGAAGATGCGGGTATGTGTTGAATTTTCCTATACCAAATTAAATAAATTGTTAACTAAATGCTTTATTTTTGTAGCCAATAATTATGCACGTGGTCATTACACAATTGGCAAAGAAATTGTTGATCTTGTATTAGATCGTATTAGAAAATTAGCTGATCAATGTACTGGTCTTCAAGGATTTTTGATCTTTCATTCATTTGGAGGTAAGTTGTTATGTTCGAAAGGAGTGCGTAGACTAAAAATGAAGAGAACACGATCCTCATAGAATAGTTTTAAAAAATTATACATAATGTACTGGACTAGTATTATTCTAACCGTATATTAAGAACATCGACTTGTAAAAGTTTTATCGGTTTTATTTTAGGTGGTACTGGCTCAGGATTTACATCCTTGCTGATGGAAAGATTAAGTGTTGATTATGGTAAAAAATCAAAACTTGAGTAAGTTTTAATCCGATGTTACATAAGCAAATATCTAATTATGTGTGTTTTTCTAGATTTGCTGTCTATCCAGCACCTCAAATATCAACAGCTGTCGTTGAACCATACAATTCCATCTTAACAACACATACAACATTGGAACATTCGGATTGTGCATTTATGGTTGATAATGAAGCCATCTACGATATTTGTCGACGTAATTTAGATATTGAAAGACCAACATACACCAATTTAAATCGTTTGATTGCACAAATTGTTAGTTCCATAACAGCATCATTACGTTTCGATGGTGCATTGAATGTTGATCTAACAGAATTTCAAACAAATCTTGTCCCATATCCTCGTATTCATTTTCCATTAGCCACCTATGCTCCAATTATCTCAGCCGAAAAAGCTTATCATGAACAATTAACAGTAGCTGAAATAACAAATGGTATGTTTAAACAGAAAATCTTTGCTTCGTCACTTTCTACTATACTTTCTTTCTTTTTCAGCCGTTTTTGAACCAGCAAATCAGATGGTGAAATGTGATCCAAGACATGGAAAATATATGGCATGTTGTTTATTATATCGTGGAGATGTCGTACCAAAAGATGTGAATGGTGAGAATTTCAAAATATTATTTAAAATGGTTTTATTTTATTTTGATCTTATTACTTTTCAGCTGCCATAGCCACAATAAAAACGAAACGAACAATTCAATTTGTTGATTGGTGTCCAACAGGTTTCAAAGTTGGTATCAATTATCAACCACCAACAGTTGTGCCAGGTGGAGATTTGGCTAAAGTTCAACGTGCTGTTTGCATGTTGTCAAATACAACTGCTATTGCAGGTATGAGAGTTTCGTCTTTCTTTTGTATTTAATACTGAAATGTTTTACTTCAACATTTTACAGAAGCATGGGCTCGTCTCGATCATAAATTCGATTTGATGTATGCTAAACGTGCTTTCGTACATTGGTATGTCGGTGAAGGTATGGAAGAAGGTGAATTTAGCGAAGCACGTGAAGATTTAGCTGCTTTAGAAAAAGTAAGAGATAAAATATTATTGATACGTGACATAGTTTATTAATAAATATGTACTTATTCTAGGATTACGAAGAAGTTGGTGTTGATTCAGTCGAAGGTGAGGGTGAAGGTGAAGGAGAAGAATATTAAATAGCTGATCGGGGTAGTAGTGAATATCAAATTATTTTTAAAATATCAAACGGACAGACAATGATTTTTTTTGTATAGTTTATATGTAATGTAATCGTTCAATTTTTTTTTCGTACTTTTTTTTTCGTTTGTCCATGTAACATCGCGACGTTTTTGAAAATCAGTTGTGCACTCGAATACTTTCTTTTCTATAAGAAATAAAAACTGAAAAATCTTTTTAAAATGACACGAAGATGTTATGTCATTGTTAGTTTAATTTATCGAACACACAACTGCGACATAGAAGAAAAATATGCTACCGATGACCCTTCACTTGATAAAATACTTCATTTAGTCATTGTATTGTGTTCAGCGCCTCTTAGACGGACTGTGAATCAAATATTAAAGCATTCTACTGCGTTCTAAAAAGCTTTTATCAGCAGAGCTAGTGTGAAATCTGAGAATTTTCTAGTACGCCTGCGCATTAACGACTACCATTGTCATATTGAAGTTTTTTTTTCGCAAGACGATATTTTCACAACAACGCTAATTTGAAAACTGTCCTATATTTGGATACACGTCTGCTGTATTTTCAAATAAACATATACCAATACTTTTACTAAAACGGTTCTGTCTTCAGTTTATTCAAATGGATAATTGTTGTTTTTCTATCCCATGTAAAAACGAATACTCATGTTCGACTCTGTCAAATTTATTGGAACATAGTTCATCGGCTTGAAAAAATCTCAAAAAATGCTGCTATAAAGAGAATTTCGAGCAGTATAAACCACGTAAGCAGAATAAACTTCTGTTTTGAGATGCAAAGAAATGCCTGGGAATTTCAAATATGATGAGTAATTTTTATTTTCTTGTACGTTTTGAGGCTTAATCGAGTTCTTTGACAAAAATGATTAATTGCACCAAAGTATAAGTCGCACCCAAGTATAAGTATAAAATTGATAAATGTTTAATGTCCTGATAAATAACTATCATAAGTTGATTTAGTTTCAGAATTTATTAACAAATAACGTTAAATAGATCTGACAGAACCATTTATGAGAATGTGCCTAACTTTAAAGATGAAAGAGAATCACCCATAATGTCATTCATTGTTAAAAAGTATCTCTCTTAGATTACAGAACTATTCTCGCCTGCAAGTAGTGTTACTTTTCTCATCAATTCTATAATCATATGTCACTTATATGATCTTCATGGATGGTGTGAAATGCTGCCTAATTGTCATAGTATAATCGAAGCTTTTGTATGTCTTCAATGTTCCCATAAAACAGCTCTGCTGGAAATTGGATAGATCTTTAAATAAAGGCAGATGTAATCGTTTTGGAGACAAATTTCAAACTTGTCTTAGAACACTATCATCGAACTGCTTATTCTTTGAAAATTCCATCAAACGTCATTCCACTGTAACGTCAATATTGCTTAAAAATTTTTAGATATATGCATGTGTAGGAGAATATGATCACTTCTACTGACTTTATTGGATGAAACTTTAAAGACTGTTTATTGATGGTATCTGTTCAATAATGTAGATCAACTTCTTTCTAAATTGATTATGCAGGATACGTTTGGTTCTCACAATGTGCTTTATCTATGAAAAATAAATATTGCACTTTTCTAAACAACTCTGATTTATGAAATTTGAGTAGATCTAAATGAATTTAGCCTTCTACGAATAATTCAAACACTTTCTTTGGTCATGCAATCAATTTATATTATTCTACTCACTTGTTCTCTAGAGTATTTTCAGTTATTATTTTGATTTCGATGTAGATCAGTTTTTTTATTTTTAGTTCAACAACACTTACTAATACCTACTGTTTTCTGAACAAGAATTTCTCGTTTGTGAGAAAAATTATACTTTTTTCTCCTGTAAAAACTGTGAATGCGCTGTGCTACACAAGAAATCTTTTATTGTAACTATGTGTTTTTTCGAATAAAACAAAAAAACCAACAACATTGGCGAAGGAGTAAATGATTGCATGCACATATTTCATGATTTTAATGAAATACTTGTACTCAACCTTCACCGCTGGTAGCTGATTTACAAATATTTACAGATGGTAATGAACTATTCGTAGTGGTTGTGATCGTAGGCGTTTCTGTTTCATTTTTCAAAAACTCACTCGAAGAAAGATGGAAAATTGACGATTCATATCATCAAGAATGATTGATGATATAAATAAAATAATGTACCACTAAATCGTGTTGTTTTATGGCATCAGATAAATAAATCATGTCTACCATTTCAAATGACATTCTCACATATCCAACAAATTGAATGACAAATTCTCCTAATAGTAGCATTTTACATCAACGAGAATCGGATCAGTTGATAAACCTTCATAGGAAACTGAGAGTTGTGCGAGATCAGTATCTGCACTTTTCACTACAGCCAGTCTGAATGAACTAACAAAGCTTGTTCGAACTTCTAAAAATATTTAAACTTTTTTTCAGCAGGCATAAATCATACATAAATCTGCAGCTAAATTTGTTTCTCATTCATCTTTTTGTCTTAATGAATTTCATCTGTATAAATAACATATTCTGAATTATAATTTAATCAAAATAGCAAAGTGTGTTGTAACATGGCTATTAGCAAGCTGATACAGAAAATTTACTTAGGGCATACCAAAAGTAGTGGCAGTGGTATTTTTATCCCTTATAGAAAGGTTAAAGAAACTTTCTTTTTATATAGTCTGATAGAGAAAAGAATGTTCTATTTTTCTATGCTATTTGATCA